TTTTTGCTGATCTATCACTCGTCGCCGTCTCTCTGCTTCTTGGGTATCACAACATCCGTCATCTCATCATCTTTCAGCTCCAACTTTTGGCGGTAGCTGACTCAGCCTTCTCATCTTCATCTCCATCCTCATTCTATCTACCTTCTCTCTCCTCTCCTCTTCCCCACCTTCTTCCTCTTCTTCGTCTACCTCATTGTCAGCCTCGTCGCTCCTTTTCCTCATTCTCAGCATTCCCGTTAGCAGGGGCGTCTCCTTCATTTTCTGCCTCTTCCACAACTTCCCTTCTTCTCTCTTTAAGTCCCTTGGTGGTGATTTCAGAGCTGGTGTCTACGGCTGCGTCTGGACATGGTGGGCACGCCGGTGATGCGATGCAGGGGATTTTAAAAAAGAAAGCGAGAGTTCAGGGACTCTGGCGATAAAGCGCTGGCGAGTCCCGCGGCGGCGGAGGAGGCCTGCGCGAGGCGGACGAGGAACCAATGCAAAGATGCTTTTCAGAGCAGCCAGTGGGGCCCAAATAGACTCTTTAGCAGCAGTAACTCTTCAAAATCGTCAAAGTTAGATCTCCTCGCTGCCGAAAAAGGTGGACTGTGCATCTCTTTAAGAATTGCTGTTTCTATACTAACCAATCAGGAATTGTACCAGAGTGCTGGCCTGACAGTTAATAAAAAAGCTTCTTTGGTATATACCAGTAATGGGATGGCTGGGTCATATGGTACATCTAGTTCTAGATCCTTGAGGGATCGCCTACTGTTTTCCACAATGGTTGAACTAGTTTACAGCCCCACCCAACAGTGTAAAAGTGTTTCCTATTTCCACATCCTCCATCGCTATTGTTTCTGACAAGAACAGAAACCAAACACGACATGTTCTCACTCCATAGGTGGGAACTGAACAATGAAGATCACTTGGACTCGGCCGGAAGGGGAAAGCATCACACACACCGGACCGTATCATGGGGTGGGGAGCGGGAGGGGAGGGGACAGGGATTGGCATTGGGAGTTTATACCTGATGTCAGAATGCGCGAGTTGGATGGGTGCTCGGACGAGTTGATGGTGCAGCCACAGCAACATGCACAGTAACCACTATGTCAACAAACCTGCACGTTAATGCACATTACCCTGCAGACTTCAAAGTATGAATAAAAAAAAAAAAAAAAAAAAAAAGCTTCTAAAATCAGTCAATGCCTTTCAGAGTCCTGGTCCCAGTAGTTTTGTAATTCCTAGGCACCCTGGCTACTGCCCCTCCTAGGCCCTGCCATAACCGTTTTTCTCCTTTTAGCATTTGGCCCCTGCCTCTTACGTCTCCTTACCCAGGTTTTACGAGATGGTATTAGAGCCTTCACCCATGGAACAGTACAAGGCATGATGCTACTCCAAGGACACCGACAGCTCCAGGAATGGCAGTCCCTACCATCCAGCCTCTCCCACTAACCGTGGCCCCTACCCAGCAGGAAGCAGCCGGATGACAACGGTGCCCCTCTTCTGTTACCTACTAAAAGGCTGGAATGTTAAGGACCCCAAAAGAATGCAACAAGCCCCCTCCCCTAAATGCCCTGCAGTTTATATTTCTTCCAAAAAGTTGCCCCTGCCCCAAGTTCCCAGAATGACAGGTACAGCTATAACCACTCCCAGGCTAAACCATATCCTGATACCCTGAGCCAAGTAAGGCAAGAACTGACAATTGCAGATGTAGACACACCCCCAAAGCCCCTAAACACCCCCACACCCTTTCCAGAAAATACTTACACCCCCTAGCCTGTAAGCTCAGGTGCTGCCTCCTCTGACTGTTAAGGAGCAGCCTGGCAGGTTAATAAATTTGCTTGCCTGACTTTAGGTCTTCTCATCCTTTCTCTAGGCTAACGTTACACTTTCTACTTACCTCGGCTTTGCTTCTACATTTCCCATCTTTTTAAATCATTTCCTGCTATCCCTCTGTCTGCAAGAATTCCTCCATCTGATCTTCATTAATAACTTGTTTTTAAGATGTAGCTATTCTACTATGTATCTGATCTGCTGTGTACTTCTACTATTCTATCTTTCATACTTCATTTGGATGGCATGCGATTTCTTATTTTGTTCCCATACTTTGGCAAGTGCTCTCTAGTTGTCTTTCTTTTGAGGTGGCTGTGTTCCCCAAGGGTCCAGTTATTCTGGCCTGTGAACTTTGGGAGGCTGAGGTGGATGGATCACAAGGTCAGGAGTTTGAGACCAGCCTGGCCAACATGGTGAAAGAAACCCTGTTTCTACTAAAAATACAAAAATTAGCCAGGTGTGGTGGCAGGCACCTGTAATCCCAGCTACTCAGGAAGCTGAGGCAAGAGAATCACTTGAACCCGGGAGGTGGAGGTTGCAGTGAGCCGAGATCGTGCCACTGCTCTCCAGCGTGGTGACAGAGCGAGACTCTATCTCAAAAAAAAAAAAAAAAGAAAAAAAGAGTATATACACATATATAAAACATTGTAAGCCTTAGTTTTCTTACCTGTAAAATGGGAGTAATATTACTTTCCTGATGTATTGTTGAACATCTGAATGTGTTTGAACTGTCAGACACATAAATGCTTAGCACAGTGTCTGGTGCAAAGACTCCTTACACTCTAAGTCCTTTCGTACTTGGTGTGGGGCACTCCATCTTCCCCTTTAGCAAGGGGCAGCCATTCTCATTGCTGCCTTCTGCAGATGCCCTGATTCACGAAGTTGGTTTGGATACCCTGAGCTTACTGGGATATTTAGCATCCACAAGACAACATCAGTTTTTCAAATGTATTCCCAGGACTTTCAAACATGATTATGAGATAAGTTCTTCATATGGCAAATGGTATATTGTAAAGCTCATCCTCAGGTTGAAGTGAAAGTTCAATTGTCATTCACTATGTCATCCACCCTGGCTTATGTCTCAAGCTAGAAAAAAATGTGCGTCTAACTTAGCAGAGACAAAGTCTCTGGGCAGATTTTCTCTCCGCAAAGTGTTTGCTGTTGTCCCATCTCTATTCCTGGGGAAGAAACTAGATAAAGTGGGAGGCCAGGTCCTACCATGTGAGCCAAAAAATGGGGGGAGCTGGGGTACAGAGGTCAGGGAACACAATGGAAAAGAATGCCTTAAAGCAGTGCTAGAGCACATGCTGGGGCTGAGGTGGGGAGCTACGTGCCTGTGTGTGCACACGCATGCGCCCGGAGGGATTGGAGAGCCAGCAAAGAAGGGCAAAGGGCAATGATTGGAACAAGAAGAAAGGGAGATTGCCTGGTTAAATACCACAGGTAGTGCCTCTAGCTGAGTTTGTGCCTGCTCCTAGCTACAAGTACAAAATCAATATTCTGGAGCAAATAAACACCTGTGAGAAGGTTCTGACTGTTCTCTTTCATTTCAAGAACATTCAGGGCTTCCTATTTTTGGAAGCTGTTGTCTTTCACTTTCAAAGTGTGTCTCTCTTCTCCCCCTCTCTGTTATTTCTCTCCTCCGGGGCTAGGAAAGGACCTGCTTGCCCCTGGTTCCTTGGAGCTCAGACCCATTTTCGATTCTCATCTTACTCTCGGGCTGACCTGTTAGCTATTGGTATCTATCGTGCAAACAGGCTTTTCAAACCCTCATGGGGGTGGGGGGACCACTCTGCAAACTCAACCCCTTTTGGTCCAGTTGTTTAGCTTCCCCTGTGTGTTCATCACACAGTCAGAGATAAACTCTCAGAGAATAAAGCATGTCCTTTTTGACACTTGATGGCATGAGCTGGGCCCCTGGCATAGTCTGCTATGGCCCATTTGTGGAAGCCTGCATGTGTAACCCAACCAGAGAGGGGATGAACAATCTGCAGCATCAGGAATTCTGCTCTGAACAGACTCTCATTCTAAGACTATTCATTTAGCGAAGTAATAATTTTTTGCTTTCATTACTGGATTAGCAAGTTGGTGTGTTTTGCGTTTTTACCAATATCCTTGAGGTATGTCTTAGGAAATATTAAATACTTGGCCAAGATTGCCGTATTATTTATTATTCATTAGGAACTAAAAAGATTATTAAAGGTCTTGTACATGCCTCATGGGAGACAGCAGTACTCCACCTGCTTTAAACATTTAATATATGCTAAAATGTACTTTTTTGGTCTACAGGTCTGTGAGTTTTAGCAGATGTATAGGTTAGTGTAACCACCACCAGTCAGGAAACTGTTCCTACCATCCCACAAAACTCCATCATACTTGCCTTCGTAGTCACATTTCCCCCTGACCTGTAGCCTCTGGACACCACTGATCTGTTCTCTATCATTATAGTTTTATCTTCACAAAAGTATTATAAATGGAATCACACAGCATGTGACCTTTTGAAACAGACTCCTGTCACTCACCGAAATGTTTCTGAGATTCATCCAAGTTGTCGCCTGTGTTAATAGTTGGTGCATTTTTATTGCTATAATATCCATTTTATGGATAGACTACAGTTTATAAATCCATTCACTAGTTGAATGATGTTTAGGCTGTTTCCAGTTTTTAACGATCATGAACAGATGTGCTATAAACATCCATGTACATATATTTTTTTGTAAATATGAATTTTCATTTCTCTAGGGAAGAGGTTGGCAAACTTTATCTACAAAGGGCCAGATGGTAATTGTTCTGTCTTGTAAAGACACGGGGTCTCACTGTGTTGTCTGGGCTGGAGTGCAGTAGCTGTCATAGGTGTGATCATAGTGCACTACAGCCCCAAACTCACGTGCTCTTCCTGCCTCAGCCTCCAGAGTAGCTGGGGCTATAGGTGCATGCCACCATGCCTGGCTCTCAGATGGTAAATATATGAGGATTTGTGGACTTTGTGGTCTCTGTTGCAATCACTCAACTCTGCTGTTATAGTGTAAAAACAGGCAGAGATAATATGTAAATGAATGAATGTGGATGTGTACCACACTCTTTTATTTTTTATTTTTATTTTTTTCAGAGGGAGTCTGGCTTTGTCGTCCAGGCTGGAGTGCAGTGGTGCG